TGACGCAATTCGGGGCTGGGTAAGTAGAGGATAAGAAAATTTACCGCGAGGATATCTTACGGCACGGCACCCTTTTTTTTTCCCCTACTGGGATGAAACGATCGATCGATCTATCTACGTTATTCGGTTCTTGGGAAACGTCTTTTTCACTGTCATGAATTATATCAGTATGCGTGCGGCGACGAGGAGTTCGGGTTCGTGAATCATAGGGCAGGGGAAATGGGGGCATTGTTTTTCTATTATCTGAATCTTTTTGTTGAAATATCTCTGATGTGATCTGATCTGATGTGACGTGATGTGGGAACGCATTCCCCGGGAAAGAGCAAGCATATATACCTACTAACTTACTTATTTACCTTACTTACCTTACTCATCAACCTATTAAACTAGTTTCCATATCCTCAGAGCTTAAGCTATACCGACCAAGGATCGTACTTACTATCTTGTTTCTAACATGGAAGTTGGGAATGTGCAGAATAATATCACAGAATTCGATGTTTTACCAGAAGAGGGGAGAGGAAGGGGGAGTGGAACATCAATTCGATGCGTAGATATGTGCACGGTATTCGGTTGTCAAGGGGCGGAGGGGAAGGGGTAACTAACTGTACGCGTAGGTCCGTCCTGTGTAACTGGAAGGTGGAAAGTCTTTCTTATGCAGGTAGTGCTGAAAACCCCCGAGGGGCTAAGTTCTATGATAACTAGCCATCACCCCGAGCCCTAGCAGAGAATGACATGTGATGGTAAGAAGATCGTATCAAGGTATCTACATATGTTGTAGGGTGCTTGATTGAGGATTCTGTCCAGAAGTGGGTAAACAAGGGCAGGAGTTGGATATACTAGGTAGGAAGTAGTGCTTGAGCGAAGCTTGCATCTTTGATTCGGCTACAAGTACTTGACAGAAATATAATCCCTGGGAGGGAGAAATGAGAACAAGGGTTAACTAGTTTGGGAGAAGGAAGAAGAAAACCATGCTTGCTACTTGCTTGGCAGACAAGCCCAGTACAGTACATCCGGAAATCCTGATCAATGGCTTTCATCTGATTGATGTGATACATACATTCTTAACCCCAACCTCTTCGCAACACCGGTCTCGCTCAATAAGGCCAAGCCGTCATCTGCTATCTCGCGTTGCTCATGGATGGTCGCTCTCGAAGATTGCCGTCTCTTCCAAGTTACGTCAATCTATTGGGTCTCATGCTTCCTTAATGGTTCCATTCCATCAACGCTCTCATGCTATCATTTCCTGTTGAAAGCAATCTCTGCGCCCTGACGAGGATATGGGGATATGGGGATGGAGGTGCTGCCAGCGCGATGTCCACCGATAAATGATTACTCCGGCCATACAGAGTACAGGATGAAACCGGGTTACATGAAAAGATCACCTCTTTGCTCAGTCGTTGGTGACGCGCCGCTCGGGACGGGGCTTCCGCAGACTCTTCATGCGATTGATGAAGCCACCACTGCCACCACCACCAGCATTCTTGTTCTCGTCATAACCACCGTAAGACCGTTCGTTTGTAAATCTCCGCTCCAATCCCGTGTTCTGCTTGGGGCTGCTCGATGAACGCGCCCGTCCACCCACAGGGTCCCGCGCCTCCTCAGAAGAAGTGATCTGAGCGCCCTTCTTCTCCCACGCATCGTCGTAATCCTGGAAGAAAGGGTTCTTCTCGTTGGCCTTGATAGTACCGATGTGTCCGGCAGGGACAGGCGGGCTGTACGTGGCTTCCGGGGAGCGGCCACTAGGAGCACGGTTAATGCCCCGTAGTCTTTGTGCCAAACTCTTCTTGCGCTGAAGACCACCTCCATTCATACCGCCGCCTGAGCCTTCCGAGGTAGTTCCCCGGCGCTGAAGCTCCGCTTGGCTGACTGGAGCCCCCTCCAAGAACGTACTAGTTCCCAGTCCCATGCTCTCCGATCCGTGGACAGGTTCAATGCGAGCAGTAGGGTCAAAGTTGGGGGGGTTCTCAGCTCTGCGAGGTTCGCTTCTCGCACTGGCCGCAAAATCATTGAAGCCCTCCTCGGTCCTTCCGTGGAACAGATTGTGGTCAATGTCTAGGTTGTTCGGTCCGGAGCCTCCCAAGGCCATGTTGGCCGAGTCCTTAGGGAAGGCCTGCATAGGTGCCGTGCGCACGCCCTTACGGTTTCGATTCGGGTTGCAAGCATCAAACGGTCCATCGTGATGGAACACTGCACAGGATTAGTGATAACATCATCATTTGAGCAGTTCTCTCACTCACTTCCTGTTCCGTAGATGCTAGTCACATCCAATTTGTCGATAATGTCGAGTTGGTAGTTGTTCTTCTTCGAGGACGACGAGCGAGGCTTGCCATCCTTACCTTCCTTTCCACGAGCCTCCCGCTCTCTCCGTCTTCGTTCCCGGCGCTTTCTTTCTTCCTCAGTATCCACGTGTTTCGGGCGCTCCATGATCGATGACTCGGAGTTGCGACGGGGGCGTGGTCGGTCGCGGCCACTGGGCCGGGAACCGCTCCCGTTTCGCGGAGGGTCAGCGAAAATATCTAGGTGATCGCGTGCGCGGCGCTCGGGGCGATCCCTTCGTTCGCTGGAGTATCCATTCGGTGCAGGCTTCTCCGGACGGGGCGGGGCGGGCCTAAAGCCGGCAGGTTGCGCGGCAGGTTGCGTGGCAGGGTTGAGAGACAGGTTTTCCTATTGAACGAAGCACCCCTGATTAGTCTTCGCGGCGACACAGTACGGAAACAGAGAAGGACGTACAAAGAGGTCGCGGGTGTTCGAAGTCATATCTTGACTTCCGACCGGGGATACCATGGTTCCTCCAATAGGGGCAGAATGTGGCGAATCGAGGTCGTCGAAAGGGTTGGTTGAGGTCGGTCGCTCAGGTCGGCCGGCGGAAGAGAATGAACTGGCAGAAGGAGACAGCGCCCGGTTTCTGAAGGGATTGTTGGAGCCCAAGGAAGGCGCATGCGCGTGTTGGACGACGGGGGCTGCGAAGAGGCAGAAATAAAGTTAGCATCAGAGAAACGAACGGGCGACCGGGGGAAGCACGGTCTGAAATAAGACCACATTCTTGACAAGACAGCAACATTCTGGCCCAGGGGAAGGGCCCCGCCGAAGGTGAAACGGCAGTGAGATGACGACTTAGGTGTGAGACACAACGAGGAAGAGGAGAAGAAACCGGAAATCAGCAAGATGACGCACCTGACGGGCCCAGCGTCACGCCGGGTGGGTAGGAATAGGTTGCGGAATACTGGGAGGCATTCATGGTTGCGAAAGTCCACGCAATGCGAGGTCGAGAGTAGGAACGGTCAAGGAAGTTGATTGGGGAATGGAGGAAAAAGACATCCAAAGATAAGGAGGTAAGTGGATGGAGGTGGATGATCAGGGGAGGGTCGAGAATGCGAGGACCAACGCCAAACTAGAGTAAGCTTAGGCGTTGCTGAAACAGCGATGCCGCGGCCGACGATTTAGGAGAGAATAATTGGAGGAGGGAATTAAAAGGAGCACAAGACGTAGGGTGTCCGTCCGTCTGGCGGTCCGTCAAGTCAAAGTCGAGGTCGAAGAAAAGACCTTGCACAGAGGAATGTGAGAATCCTTAATCTCTTTATTTTAAAATGCAGAAGTGATTGGCCCTGATTCTCGCCAGTGGCTGCTTTCTGCCTGATGGGAGATGGTTGGTGGATGAAGGTGTGTTAAGTGGTCAAATTGTTCCAGTTGTGGAATTATTTAATTCCCGAATAAGGTGGGGGTTTTTTAAGAGGAGCCTGGAGGGGTTGGAATAGGAGTCACAACAGGTGGGATGAAGAGGAGGATATAGGGGGGAGTAAAGTGAGAAAGGGAGAGAAGTAGAGAAAGATGAGGAAGAATGAGAAGAGAGGAGAAGAGAGGGAGTGAAGAAAGAGAGTTGGGGAGAAGAAGGAGGGAGAAGAAAGGAAAGACGAAGAGAAGGAAGCGGACGGAAGGGAAGGAAGGGAAGGGAAAGGGAAGCAGGATAGACAGTTAGAGTGACTCGTGTGAGTAACTCGGATGGTGCTGTCGCTGGTTGCTGGTTACTTGCTGGTGCTGCTGCCCCTGGGGAATATCCAGAGTCACGGCTAACTATAGTTTGGTCCGATGCATTAAACCACGGTTCATCGACTGAAAGGGGGCGGAGGAGGAGGGGAAGGAAGAAAAAAAAAGTGGAGTGAAGGCGAGAAGCTTTTGGCTTCGGTTATTGGGGGATTTTAATTTGACATGCAAAAAGGGGGGGCGAGAAGTAGTAGTGTACTCAGTATGTCAATAGTAATACTAAATAATAGCTTAGTTACCGTGCAGTACTGAGTACAGTCAGTATAAGAACAAGTGAGAGGAGGGGAGAGGTAGAACACAGGCAAGATTTCCAGATATTGAGTATGACTATACTATCTATACTATGTAGTATGTATGCAGTGTCTGTGTCTCACTGTCTTATCATTATGGATTGATCTTGATAATGTCTCTCTCCCCTTCCACACCCTTTCAGGGGCTAACCGCTAATTTACTACCTACTGAAGGAGAACGTTCTCGCTCTCCACGGGTTGATTAGTGACCCCAGATCAATTTGAGCCACATCGGATCCTGCAAGCCAGCAACTAGTGGGAGCTTCGCTCTTCACGACTACTACAGTACTACTAACTTACTATTTACTTACTCCTGCTTATGAATACTATAGCATTGGCCATTGCGTCAACACTTCCCCTCTGGAATGTGGCCCTTCTTTATGCCCTTCCTTCAGCCTGTCTGCCCTCGATCAATCCGGATCGACAGAGCGATAGACACGGTGATGATGATCTTACCCCTGGCTGGCTATTGCCCACCACTTTCCTAATCAATAATGCCAACAATACTGACCGAGTACGAAGTATATTCCATATTCCATCATCGCATCATCGCTTCCATCTTCGCCTCTTCGCATCATAGGCAATCAGCTAATGCACCTCTTTTTCAGGGCCGGCCCTTCAATAAATCACCTTGGCGAAATCCCCCTCCATCCCATCTCATCCTTACATACATAGTTAGTAATTTCCCTTTCCCCAAAGGTGGGTTTTTTTCTGGAGTCTGCCAAGTCACCCAGCAGATCGTCCCCCTGCACGAACCGCGCGGACGGGAACAGGGTCGGTCGGCTCATCACACGCGTGTTCCCGCGCAGAAAACTCCCCGGGCGTTCAGGCACACACGCACACCCACAATACATACATGCCACGGAATGTTCCTGTCCTTCCACTTGAATCCTTGGCAGGTAAGGTACCTTATACTGCGTGCACTGCACATCAAGAAGGAAAGGAAGGGACTGCAGCCACCCACACGGTGGCTTTCATTCCCCTTTGTCTTAGCCTTGATTGCAGAGAGGGAGACACCCAGATCAACTGTGACCAGATCAAAAAGACCTTGTGTGAGTATGTGTCCGCATCCGATGGTATGCTTCGCTGTCAGTGCCGGTGACGTTTTCCCCTTGTCAAGCTCAAGGGACATGACATCGTCACATAACTACCGGTACTGAGTAACTAAACCCGGGGGGGGGGCCATATCGTCATGGGTCTCACTCACCTCGCCCAGATCCCCCAGGTTTCCTTTCAGCTCCACTATTCTTAGTGGCTGTTAACGTATGTGTCTTTGCTTACTTGCATGCCTTCCTCTTTGCTTTTCCCTGTCTTCTTCTTGGGGGATTTTTCCTGATGTCATTTTTTGCTTTTTCTCACTTGCCTCAATTTGGATAAGGCTGGAATAAAATAAGGGCACGGGAACGGTCGGTTGCCTACTCGTGCTACACGGAAGCAACGGCTGTTTGATGCATCTTGTTGGGCAAACCGTTTCAGATTTGTATTCCTGCTGAGATCCTACGGATCATCAAAGGTGTACATCAAGGTAGACCTCGAATTAGTGAGTGGAATGAACAAGCAGGATGGGCTGAAGATGAGCGGCCGGTCGAATTGGAAAACAACATGGTGTTTGCCTTGAGATGACAGGGCTATGTTTTCAGGAGGTTGCCAAGCAAGCTCTTTGCGCTCAGGTGTCATCTACATGCATGGGCTGCTTGGTCGCTGCCTCGACTGCAGGAATGCAGGAGGACTGAGGTCGCTGGGTATTTCCGGTCTAGGCGTAAAATCAGGATGGAGGAACTTGGAAGCACCATGTAGAGTCCGGGATGTGCACTTTAGAAGAGAGGCTCACAAATCATGCTCAGCGCCATGAGATGATGAGACATTACCATTTTTTGGCTGGGTGGTGAGGCCGCTAATGTTCTTGTCAGCCGTACAATCTGCTTACCGGGTGCAGACAGAAGCGATGATGTAAGAGGAATCTGATGCTTGTCTTGCCGGGCTTAGCAACCAGGGATGCCGGATTCTGATAGCAACACATCACGTACCGACTAATAAGTCAATGCGGTTGATCACTCTTTTTATGGGTGAGTTGGCTGCTGCATTGATAGACTCACTTCATCTCAACTCATCGTGACCTGCTTGCACAGCAGGGATGTCGACTGTCGCATCAATGATGGACAACCGTTTGTCATCTGGTGGTATAGTCACTTGCCGGCCACAGAGGCTTAGTAGACATGAGTAGACATGTTATATGAGTGGAGTACAGTAGTGAGTTGGTCTACGTCAATAGCCCTCACGTGCACACATTGAAGAAAGCTCACGAAGACCTCGACTTTGTGGTCGTCGAAGACAGCTCTCAATGAATCCAGAGCCTAATGGCCTCTGTCAGGCACCTTGCTCGAGGGCCCAGTCAGGCTCTTCAGCCATGCTGGTTAGCCACTCATGGCAGTGTAAGATCGTCCAACCCTCCCTCGGTCTGCTAGTACTGTCAAGGACGGCCAAGCGAGTCAAAGTGGCTGTGGGCGACAAGCTTCTTATCACGGCTGTTGGGGGAATAAACACGAAGACTCGGGCGGGGACTTGGTGCAGTCTGCTATCGATAGCAGTGCAGTCTGAGCATTGTTTCCGCAGGGCCTTAGCTTTATTCGTGTATCGGTCATGAACTAGGCCTGAAGGTAATGATAGTGACTCAGATCTAGTGGAGCTTCAACGGTCTGGGGCGAAGAGCTCATGAATAGTTGGAATATGGCATGTGTGGCATGTGTGGGTCGGAGTGCAGAGCAACCCAGAATGACTTAGATTGATATATCTCTATAGCACTGGTGATATAGCTGTGGGCTTGATCTGGGTACTTGCCCACCTGTAGTTAATACTCGCGTGTTAGGGCAGACTGTATCAGACAGGGCCTCTGGATCTTTCGCATCAGATAAAATCTCCAGGAGCGACCCTTTGCATTTCGGAGATTTCCGAAATGACTAGTCATAGCAATGCTCCAGATTGATGGAAACCCCGACTTCGCCTGGAGTAGATTGGACTGTGCCTGAATCTACATCAGATTGACAGCTCGTCCAGTTTGGAGTGGGGGAAAGTGGGTCTGGCGTATAGCAATGGATGCTTGGCATCTTTTTTACCTTCCCGTGCCGCCAACGTCTGCCACCCCCCAGCTCCGAATCAAGCTTGCATTGCACAGTTTCTCCCCTCCACCCCCAACCCATCCGACCAGCTTACGCTCTCTGATCAATACCATTGAACTCTGTGACATCTCTCTACTCTTACACACTACACGCGGGCCTCATCCCAATCTCTCCAACGCACAACCATGGCCCAGCCACAACAACCACCCACCGACCCAGCCAACCCGCAGCAACCGCCTCCCCCAACCCTCACCAACCCACGCTTCACTCTCGAGCTCGAATTCGTCTCCTCTCTCGCCAATCCTTACTACCTCTCCCATCTGGCCGTCAACTATCCCAATCTCCTGGGGATCAGCCAGTCCACCGATGAGACGGACGCGACCGACACCAAAGACACCACGACCCCTCGCGACCCCGACGCCGCTGCGTTCGCCGCCTACCTGGCCTACCTCTACTCCTACTGGAAGACACCGGAATATGCGCAGTTCCTGACACACCCGGGGGCTACGCTACGGGCGCTGCGGCTGCTGCAGGAGGAGAACTTCCGACGGGATGTGATCCGGCCGGATGTTGTCGAGGCGTTGGCGAGCAATGGACTGCAGGAGCAGGTAGTGGAAGGGGACAAACCTCAGGGCGAAGAGCAACAGCAGGATCAGTCAGAGCAACAGGATGGTAAGGGGAGTTGAGGTTTCTGTGTGCGGGACTTGGGAAGGGACACAATTAGAACCCTGAAGTCATCTGCATGAGGATCGAGGAATAACAGGAGATTACTGGTGATTCGTGTGGGATAGGTACCACTCTTGAGAGAAACCTGGAAGAATACAAGGGGCTCACTCAGTATGTTCACACAACGGTGAATCGCGAACCATGGGTGCTGGGGTGTCATGTGTGACCGAGGTACATATAGTACAAGACGGTCGGTCGCACAGCCATGGCGGTTTTCTGGCTGGCTCGTGAGCCTGATTGATTTTCGGGGTGCTATCTGTCAAGAAGAAAGTGGCCAGTCAGGAAAGGCACTCCACATTTCGGCGACCAGAGTTGAAAGTCTCAGAATTGGGACAATCGAGATCTGCTCCGGAAATGCCGTGCTCGATTCCATGCGAGCCGATGTCGCTGGGCTGTTCTTCGCGTGAGAAGATAGATCAGAAGGAAAATACTCTCATATCGAGGGATGTACGTATGACACTATGTGAAATTGGTTCAAAGTCTCTATTTCCCGTGCTCGAACCAGAGGCTGGGAAACGGTGCCTGGGAAGCAGTCGATGACGTTTGGCGTGGGGTTGGGTTGCAGGGGAAAAGAAACGAAAAGAACAGCATCACCAATTAATTGTTCGGGTCGATGCGATGACATGCACTTACACCTTAGCAGTATTGTAAACAGTCAATTGAATCTACTAGTTTCAAATGACAATACCTCAGTCTAGGACGTATCTTGCTGTGAGATGGGCAAATGCATGCATAATTAATGTACTGTACAGTACTCCATACAGTCACGGCGGACGGGGCTGATTTTCCCGAACCTCTGGAGTGGATTCAACTCCGCCGCCCGCCGCCCGCCGCGTCAACTAGTAATTTACTCTCTACCTTTGCTACCTTTGAACTTATCGCCGTCACTCCCAGTCCATCCGAGGGGTGAATTCTCTCGCTTCTGCCTCGCTTTTCTGCCAGCCCAACCACTCAGCTCTGGTCCTTGTTTCCGCTGCTGCTCACTCTTGCTCACTGTTCATTGTGTACTTCTAGCCTTTACTCATTTCGCTGACGTTACCCCGCTTGTAATCCTCTTCTTTTTGTGATCTTTCTCTCTCAGCCCTTCTAAGGTCCACGTTGACCGTTACCCGATCAAGGCTCTTACTAACCCAATTTCCGCGAAACCTCCTGGATGGTCGATTCATAGACAAACACACCTTGGCTAGTCTGTCTAGTCCTCACTCCCCTGTGGTCTATCGCCTGATACTGCGACGGATTCTGCGCAGTCCCCTTCCTTTCCTGGAACTCCTCATATACCGAGAGATTCGGGCACCCGTTGCCGGAATTCACCCTTATGGAGGGCGTCCGCCAGTCCTGCCGGCCGAAACACCAGGTCCTGGTGCTGAAATGCTATCCCCAATACCAGAAAGGGGTGCAGGAGGTCAAGCCCAATCCCAGTGAACTGTCGTATCTGCTCTACTATGCCAGCACTCGCCGCAGCAAGCTGACCAAGGTTGGCGCTTTCCTGGAGAAACGGGCCGCTCGCGATGTTTGGCGTCGCAAGACAGGGTAAGTTCGAGCGACAATGACTGACGATGTGCTTGGTGGATGTTACGTCTGCTGCAGCAATATTGAAGAAGAGACTGATCTCGTGTAGCAATGTACAGGTCACGCTCCAGATCCTTACGGCCCTTATCGAAAAAGTCCCCCGCGACCTCCCTATCTACGCCCGATCCGTCCTGACGATCCTGGAAACCGTGCTCCGGTCGCGCGATATCACAATCGTGGAGGACTCCATCACCACCTTTGAAACTTTCTGCAGCCATCAGGATGTGGCAGCGCTGACAGCGGAGCCCGATTTCGCAACCCAGTATCGCGAGGTGGTACGTACATATGCGAGCTTTGCGGAGGTCGAGCCATCCTCTCAGGCCAATGCCCTCGCCCCGAGCCTACCCATGGCCTTACGGTGGAGGAACGCGGGATTGCGCGCGATTAAGGGCGTGGTCGGCTCCGAGACGGGCCTGGCGGCCGATGGCGGCGACTCGCTGAGAATTACATTGCCGATCATACTTGAGAATTTGTGCAAAGGAGATGAGGATTTAGTGACCTCGCTCGAACATCTGCTTGAGCAGTCGGAAAAGGCAGACACCTCGCTCGCTCACAAACGGCGCGTCAGCACCGCGACCGTGCAGACAGTCGACACAGCCAACGGTGATCCGGTGTTGGCATCGCAGTCCGCGGCCGACGCAGACAAGAAGGCCGAGTTGGATGTTCGGCTTCTCGCCCTTCGCTGTCTCGAGCGCATCGTTGTTACTGGAAGCAGCCGCGGCCAGATTCGAGTCACTACTCAAATTGCGCTGGAGTTTATTCTTCGGAAGATCCCAACTGGCAACACGAGCTTCTCACTGGACACCAGGGAGAACTGGGCTACCTCGCTGGTGGAAATCATAGCCAAGTGGTGTCCTGTTCAAGTGCGGTTCATCATCCCAGTCACTATGATGCAGATTTTGATGGACATGAAACTTAGCGACGAGACTTTGGACGAACCCTTTGTTGTCATCTTCATGATTGACTGGCTGCTGAAATCCCCGGTCAACATGATTGGCTTGAGTGTTATTGATATCCTGTTGGGTCTTCTACAGCATATGTCGTTCTTACTATCTTCTCCCGAAGGGGAAAAGGTGGTGGAGCCGTCCGGCAAAAGGAGGGAGCAGCTCTCTCTCCTTGAGAAGTGCATCGGAGACCTCGCCACTCACATATATTATGGCGATCAAGTTGTTGACATGATCAGAGCCATCTTGACTCGCGTCAAATCTGTGATCTCTCATGACCAGCCACCAAACTCATTTCAGACCGATTCTCCCGGTGCGCGCTCTCAGGCGCCAAGTGTTTCGGGCGACAGCAACTCCGTTGCCTTTGCATCTGGTTTTGCTAAGACCACAGCTCTCCGGGCCATTAAGAACATCTTTTTGGTGGCGAATTCCCGGAAAGCTGCGGCCGCAGCTGGCGCCGAAACGAGGAACAAAGTGGGCATTCATGTCTGGGAGGGGACGCAGTGGCTGTTACATGAGTCCCAGAACGAGGTTCGTTATGCGTACACAGACGCATTCCTGACCTGGCTCAGGCTGGAGACCAATCAGCAAGATCTGTTGGTGAACGACAAGTCCAGCAAAACCCACAATCTGAGACGAGAGATGTCTGACATCGAGAAGAGCGGCAAACGGACCGCTTCTATGGGTGTGAATCAGAGGGAGAAGTCTATTCTAGTGGCCCAGCACAATTTCCTCCGGCTGCTACATTTGGTCGTTTATGACATCGCGTTTGAATCTTTTGCACAGGTTGCTGAGATGCGGCTGTTGCACCTTCTGCTGGCAAGCCTTGTTAATCACTTGGGAGTGAATGCCATTCGCTTCGGGCTTTCTATGGCCTTGAAGCTCCAAGAAGATGTGGGCACTGTCGAATCTCTGCAGTCAGTCACTGCGAAGGTGAACATTGGTAGTCTGGTGTATGGATATCTTTGGGCGGTGTCGGAGAAGTTCGACTTGGAAACCACTAAAGTGGGCAGGGATATACAGAACGAAGTCGTCAAGAGACAGAAGCTTGGTCTCTGGCTTGATCACATTCGCCTACCCCCAGCAAGTCTGGAGACTATCCTCCAAGGCAGTAGCAATGCCGCCAATTACGCAGGGGACGGCAACCAGCTTACACCCTTCGGTGAGGTGGAAGAGCTCGTTCGTTGTATCGAGGACTCGTACAATTTCTCTGTGCAGAATGCAACCAGCAGCCCTCCTTCGTCTCCAGGGCGTGCCCCGACTTTGCCAGTGCTGGGACAAGGGTCGGGTCTCCAGGGCATTCCACAGAGACAGCTCCTTCCTTCCACAGCTCGCGAGCAAATGTTATCGGCTTGGACTCGCGAACTGTGCCTGGCCGCTGCCGAGCGAGAGAAGGCAGAATTCATGTCTATGAATGGATCAAGAGCCGGAACGCTGGCGATTCGCAATCATTTCAACGTGAATCCGACAGAGAGCAGCCCTCCCTCCACCACATCTCCCAAATCCGGCCAGCAAGTTGCAGCTGATCTGCACAACTCTCGTCGGATGAGCATTCCGGAATCTGCTCGGGTCCGGTCTCACAGTTCTAGCCGGGAGGCTCCGGTGCATGTCAACGATTTGAGACGCGTGCTTTCGATCAATGATCAGGAGAAGCTCCGGCGCCTCAGCCCCCTCAGAGGTCGACTTGATGCCTCCAACCGCAGCGTTGTCTCGTCGAGCAGTGAGAGCATGGTCAGCGGCTATTCTTTGTCGGAATTTGACGCAGATGGCATCTCAATCCGCCATCAGTCGCGCGACGGCCAGGACGGAGACACGGTAACTCCGAAAGCATCAACGTCTTCTTTTGCGGGCTCGCAGATGTACTATATGGCCCACGAGGATATTCCTCCTGTGCCTCCGATTCCGCCCTCTTTGACCGTCACGGGAAACCTCGCCAGCGAGTCGCAACGTTCGTTAGCTTCCGACCGACCCTCGACTGCTCCCGGGCCGCGTGGACAAGCTGCTGTGAACGGGAAGATCGTCACGCCCGCCTTGCCTCACCATGGCAAATCCCTCAGCAAGCACAAGAGTCGATCGAGCACCGGTCTGGCGGCACAAGCTGCTGACGGGGACGCTCTTTCGAATTCCGACCCGCGCCGCGAGGTGACCAAACTTTTGGAGGGGTTCCTTTCGCCCGCTCATGCTGAAACGAGGCCAGGGGGTGCAAGGGCTCGTGGAGGTCTTGGTCGACGGGGCATCAGCGGAGGAATTGGACGTCCCCCGTATTAGATTCTTCATGTCAACCTTTTTTATTTGTTTGTCTCATGATTGCGGGGCTTGAATATACCATCCTACCTGTTACTTTCATTGCTATATTTTCCTATGTTGTATTTGATGTATAGAGGGAGGCGTGCTGTACTGAGTACAAGAACTAATTCGTGTGCATTGGATAGAGAGACTTAATGTATAGGTGTGCGGAACTTATCACAGGATCGCAAGGGTAACCTTTTGTCCTCTTGACATACAGAGAGTAGTTGTATGAGTACTGTACATGCTGTCAGTCTACGACGTAAAGTACAGTAGGGATTGACTCCACTTTCCCCAGATTCTCACCTCAGGAACCAAATTAGCGCCGCGGGATCAGCCACCGCCTTACGTCAGAAGCCCGACCGAAGCGCGTCGCAACCTCAACCTCGACCTGCAACCACGACAACTTACCTTCCTTCCCTATATCTTCCTTCCACTCTCCTCATCAATCAATCTGGTTCTCTTCCCCTCCCTCCTCGAATATCAGAAGGAAGAAGCACAAAAATGCATCTCCTGCAAACCCTCCTCCCTCTTCTCCCCCTTCTCCTCCCCCAAGCCTCCACCTCCCCAACGCCTCAACCCAGGACCACCGCCCCCACCCAAAAAGACCTCACCCCCCTCCCCCTCATAATCTGGCACGGCCTCGGCGACACCTACACCAACCCCTCCCTCACCGCTCTGACGGACGTCGTCAACCAAATCCACGAAGGCACTTACACGCACCTCATCCACCTAGGGGACGACGCCGCCACCGACCGCCGCAACACCTTCCTGGGGAACCTAACGACCCAAATCGCCGACGTCTGCGCCCAGCTCGCCGCGGACCCGATTCTGTCGACCGCCCCCGCCGTCAACGCCATCGGCTTCTCCCAGGGCGGCCAGTTCCTGCGCGCCTACGTCGAGCGCTGCAACAGCCCGCCCGTCCGCACCCTCATCACCTTCGGGAGCCAGCATAACGGGATCACCAAGTTTCAGGCGTGTCGGTGGGGGGATCTGGTGTGTTTGGGCGCGGAGGCGTTGCTGCATGCTGGGCGGTGGAGTGGGGTTGTGCAGGGGGGTTTCGTGCCGGGGCAGTATTTTCGGCCGCAGGGAGGGGTGAAGGAGGAGGATTCGGACTCTGGGGTCGGGGTTAGGGTGGGGGTGGGTCATGAGGGGTTGGATGGTGAGGGGGATGCGCAATTTGGGGCTCGGCAACAGCAACAATCGGAGATGGAGCTCTACCTCCAGCACAGCAATTTTCTGGCGGATGTGAACAATGAGCGGGAGGTCAAGAATGAGACGTATAAGGAGAATTTGAGCACGCTAGAAAAGTTTGTTATGCTTATGTTTGAGGAGGATACGGTGGTGCACCCGAAGGAGTCGGCGTGGTTTGCCGAGGTTGATGCTGATGGGGTGGTTATTGGGTTGAGGGATAGGCAGATCTACAAGGAGGATTGGATTGGGTTGCGGGAGTTGGATGAGAAGGACGCGTTGGTGTTTCGGACTGTGCCTGGGAGGCATATGGAGATTGGGGAGGAGGTGTTTGAGGAGGTGGTCAGGGAGTTCTTGGGGCCGGTTGAGGTTGAGGTCGAGGGAGGTCGGGGTGCTGATGGGAGTGAGAGAAGGCCGGGGTTGGTTGTGCAGGGTGCGTTTTAGATTTGCGATGCTCTGGGCTGGCCTGTAGGTATATACGTTGTGGTGATTTTGAAGTACGATTGAGGATCATGATTATTATGGTTAGAATATCCACACTGCCTTCAGCTTACTGACTACGGACTGCTAACGATGCAACGAACAAATGATGACCTTCGTCATCCGTCAGAGCACGAGGCCAGACGTATGGACTGGTTGTCTGTGTCGAGTGGACGGGCCAGTCGCTCTCCAGGGCAAGGTAGACTGTCGGTAGCCTACGGTAGATCTGGGTTCTATTCTGGGATTGGTGAATCTGAATTCGCCCGAGCTTAGAGCGGCTGCCGATGTTGGAGATCTCTGTGGAGTGTCCACGCTGGGTGGATTGTAGGACGACAGGTCTTTCGCCATCTCCATTGAACCACATGCTGGAGCTTGTGTCGGTCGACGATGAGATTCCCAATCGAGCGGCACGGGTTGCCCGTATACCTTCAGCGATGAAACCTGCCTTGCATTTTTGTAACTTGTGGTAGGTCTTGCTCGTGATCTGAAACTCGTCGTGTCAGTTCTGTGTCTTTCGTTCTCCAGTCGCAGACGTGGTTCTGGGAGCCCGGCATGTTCATGGAGAGGCGGAATCGTAGCCGACAGATGGTCCAGTCTCCGCCCACCTGACTCGACCAACAGCGGTGACCAGGCTCTGGTGTTCAATTCGTCCTTGCTATACTGATTCTGAGGCGTGCTTCCAACTCTGTGAGTCCAGGGCAGTGTTAATCTACCCTCTCGTTCAGCGTCAATCTGATCATCGATTGTAAACCGTCGCCGGACCAGTAACTCCCGATCAGGTCTCGTATTTCGACTCGAAAATCGGGGCAAGTCCTTCTGTTCAAGTAGATCTTGCTCGAGTACACTCTTTGATATAACACGTGTGGCTCTCTGGGGTTGCAGGCTAGGACTAGTAGGTCTACGCGAACATTGTTGCAGACTTTGAGAATCCTCACGTGGTCCCAGGTATCGCTTCAATCCACTGTTCGATATGACGCTTTCTGGATCCGGAGCATACGATTCATAGTCAGTGACTGAGGACGTTGGATATGCAGCCACCGACGGCTTAATACTTTCGAGCAAAAGCGAGCTGTCTTGGAAGACATCACTGCCATCGAAACTCCGAGGTGAATGCGCCCGCACGCATTGACTAGTAGAAACTGATCGGTCGCTGTCCAGCAGCATCGACTGAGAAGAGACATTGACTGGTTGATCCGGTACGGAGTCCGTAGTTCTCTTCACTACCCGCTTCCCGTTTATTCTCAGACTCATCTGTGAGAAGTCCACCGCCTCCATGGGAGAACCCTTGCACTTCCTATGCCGTACAACATGGGCTGAGCGCGAGCCGGGAGTGCCCAATCTCATCCGGTCACTCTCCGTTATCTTTCTCCGCTTCCCAAACCTTGCCTGTGACTCTGGAGTGGGGAATGCGATCTCGATTGGCCGTGCTGCGGCAACGGCGGCCCAATCGGGCTTTTTCAGGAGCTCGCGTCGGAGGCGGTCCAGACGCTGGCGGGGCTGTGAGTCTTCCTTATCGTTGAAGGGTCTGTGGCGACTCTCAGCGACGGGGGTTGGAGAGACTTCCCTGCTACGCTTGTGCAATTTCATTACTAGCTGTCCTGCACGACCTCGTGCCGATGGTGGGATATACTCACCTCCCCCGGCGACTGCCGAGGACAGTCCGCTGGTAGATCGAGAAGCGCAGCTCCCGTAGCCATGGGGTTTTTGTTTGTGCTCTGCTTCTTGAACTTCTGCTTTCTGGTCTTTGCGTGAATAGCAGAATGACGTCGGAGACGTCCTCCGGTCCAGTTCATGGTTGATGGACTTCTTGCAGGTCAGCTAATGGGTTAGTGTTGACAAGGTGCAGTGATGTCAATAGGCTGCGGTCTCGATGCTAGAACGGTGGCCGAGCCACCGCCGTCATGTGATGCCTGAAGGGGCAGGTTGTGCACAGTGTAATGAGTCAACTCCGTGGCCACTATGCACTGCACTGCAAGGCAAGGCGGACACACAGCGTCAATATTTATATCTCAGGTCATATGCAAGAGATCGTTACGTCTTCGGATGATGCTGTGCTTCAGCTGCGTCTGTAGTGAGATCGAGCCAACGAACATGCGCCGTGTCTACGCCATTGAGCATCTGGATATATTGTATTGCACCACGGACGGGGACAGTTCAATTGAATCTCTCGATGGGGGGGCTTGCTCCGATTAGAGCCCGATGGAATAGACCGTGCCCTACTCCGGAGTCATTTCGAGTGCAAGCGCGATTGACAGCAACACCAAGAATTGAAGAATGGAAGGCAGTGTCGCGAGCATCCCAATCTCGAGCTGCTAAAATGTAGCGTTACCTCAAGAGGAATGGTCTTCAAATTACTAGTATTGCCGCCGTAGTCGCAACTTGGAAACAAGATCCAACCGGCTCGGCCCGGACAACGAACCATAGAAGCTGGAAAGCCACTCAGTATCTGACTAACCCGTGACCGACCACTTTGGCACTTCCCCACGATTCAGTGCAAACCTCGCAAATTCACGTGATACTCGCTTGGTTCATAAGCCGCTTCCCACACGCCAAAATTCTTTTCCTTTCCCTCTCAAACAACAGACAACCCTCGCGTTGTTTCAGCAGCCAACCTGCGCATGTCGCGCTGTCGCGCTGTCTGCATCCGACATGACAAGATGATGGACCTCCTGTCTTTATGTTGACAGGTCCACGAAACTGTCAGGTCGGATGCTGAAACAGGCTTTCCTGTCCTTGTCTTTTTTCTCCGTCGCCTAAATCGGCAACCATGCTCACAGATCAGCTGAAGGTAAGCAGACCATTTGTTTCTTTTTTCTTTTCTCCCCTCTCGCATGGATGTTCGCTGGAGGGCCCTCGCGCCCTTGATGATGAACAACCTACCAATAAGCATAGTTCACCTGAGGTCTCGGACCGCTGAACGAAAACCGTATACCATCTTTCAATTTTATCTGATACACATCCATGCCTGCCTGGTTGCATTGTCATTTCATGCCATTCTATTTGCTGGCCATTGCTGACATTGCCTGTTTTCAGACACAGATCCTAAGCGCTCCGTAAATAGGAATCCATGATCCGGAGTTCTCCCTCGGTATTCGTAATCAGCGGAAATCAGCGGACTCCAGAAACAGGTTCTTTTCTTGAATATCTAATTCCATTCTAAGACAAGCAATTAAAATATGAACATCATTTCACTAGATCCCGTCTAGTTCCCACTTGCCCGAAACTATCCGTAATTAGATGATGACATTGCTGCCCAACCTCCCGGCGCGTCTGGAGACCGTGGTGCCAGATGCGACGATTTCTGCCTCCTATTCTCCTCGAAATCAGATCCTCGAGATCCATGCAGGTCCCTATTCATGCTGATGAAACGTAACACCTCATCGTCGGAGCTGTAGGTACTTTTGGGAAGGTGGGGGTGGACGGAGTGAAGGGGTGACGGGGGAGAAGTTGTCCGCGAGTCCGAGAGTTCTGTGACAGAGCTGGTTGCTTGCATGCGATGCAGGAGGAGAGTTCAGAACCCTGTTCCCCGAGAGGAGGAGGGGCCTTGACGTGTTGTTATCTCAACCAGCCGATGGCAGGCCGAGAGTTGGTGACTTTCACGAGGGCAGGCGGGGGCTGAATTTGAGGGTTTCTGATGGCTTCTGACCGGCTCCTGATGGCTCTTGATTGCATCTGATTGCCTCTGATTGATGGTCAGGGGCGCTGCGTTAGTTTGTTAGTTCTGCACGCGACGGTCATTGCCTGCCATTGCCTGCCATTGCATCATGCTCAGTCTACGGGGCGAAGTGCCAATCACGCCCATTGTGCCGCCTCACCGCTCCTTGGAAGGAATTGCCCGGGTGGTGCCGGTGCTAAATGATACATCCACTATCCCTTCATCCGCATCCACTTCCATCCAACCTTCGGCCACTCTCATCCACTCTCATCCACTTTCATCCATCGCGTTTCTCCCGCCCGGCCACGTCAAGCCGCTTCTCCACTAATTCATTGGTAGATAGTGCGCGAACAACACCACCTGGCGCTGCACCATAATCACCGCCATGTCTTGCAGGGTCAAATCATCGTCCGTTGCTCTCCCACTCTGGGAAGAATGAGGCAGTCCGCCTGCTGCATGAGCATGCAAAGCCCGGCACACGCTTGGACGGCAATTTCTCCTTTTCCCACCCCTCTCACACACACGACCCCCGCCCTGTCTCCTGAGCGAAAAAAAAAGATGCGATCCCATCGGTTCTTAAAGGCCCTCGATGCCCCTCCAGATGGAATCCTTCTCGACCTTTCCTATTTATCTCACACCAGACTCGAAGAAGAAACCCAACAGATTCCCACTCTAGATACCCAAACATCAGCGATACCCAATTCTTCTTCCACTTCTACTCTCAAGATACCACCCCACTTCATCACTCTTGTGCTCGATTTGTCACAGTCAAATCAGCTAGCTTACTCTCTTCCACATCTTACTCGATTTCCCAGGCCTCTTTTCTCTTGTCAGACAAGTTCCAGTCCGTGGATCTTGAAGGAAAAAAACGCAGAATCAGTTCCTTGGCCTTGATACCAGCCTGATCTATCTTTCTGGAACCCAGTCCATATCCTGGATCGGACCTGCTTGCTTTGTTTGCTTTCTTTGCTCCTCTCCCAGGCTTGTGTCTGAGCACGACGAATAACAGGTAGATCCCTCGTTCTTTGTTTCTTGTTTGCTTTCTTTCCCCCATGCGCTTGTTGCCTCTCGACCCGTTCTGGATCTCCGTCTCGTCTACTTTCGCCCCGTCGCATATCGCCCACTGGACTTCCTGGACTTTTAAACCCATCTGGCCTGTTTCGTCACAAGACGAACTTCATCCACTTGCCGTGGCTTGAATAAGCATGCGTCACACAGCGGCCGCTGT